AGCCAGCCAAGAGCCCAGAAGAAGAGGTTCTGGGCAGAGCTTTGCACTGGGAGTGGCTTGTCAGATTTTTAACAAAAAGAGGGTTACTTAGGCTGGTTTGAAATTGGAGCTGGGTAGTTAACAGGAGACAAAGCATAGTTTCGAAGACAATGCTCTCATCCTGAGAAGTGACCTGGTCAAATGTGTTTTTGACCTTCACTGTCCAGTAATACAGGAGCCACTTGTCACAGGGGTTCAGGAGCACTCAACTGTGGCTATCAAGACAGGTAAACTGAACTTTCTTTTTTAAAATTTAATTTTAATTTTGAGAGACAGGATCTCACTCTGACACTCAGGCTGGAGTGCAGTGGCTGGAGCATCCTGGGCTCAAGAGATCCTCCTGCCTCAGCTTCAGGAGTAGCAGAGACTACAGGTATGCACTACCACACCTGGCTTATTCTTTTATATTTTTGTAAATATGAGGTCTTGTTATGTTGCCCAGGCTGATCTTGAACTCCTGGCCTCAAGAAATCCTCCATGCCCAGCCTCTAAAATTTAATTTTTTTAAAAAAAGTAAATCTTGGCCGGGCGCGGTGGCTCAAGCCTGTAATCCTGTCTCTTATACACATCTAGATGTGTATAAGAGACAGGGCTGGAGTATAGTGGCACAATCTCGGCTCACTGCAACCTCTGCCTCCCGGGTTCAAGCAATTCTCCTGCCTCAGCCTCCCGAGTAGCTGGGACTACCGGCACCTGTCACCATGCCCGGTTAATTTTAGTATTTTTAGTTGGAGGCAGGGTTTCACCACATTAGCCAGGCTGGTCTCAAAGTCCTGATCTCAAGTGATCCACCCGCCTTGGTCTCCCAAAGTGCTGGGATTACAGGCATGAGCCACTGCGCCCGGTCTTTTTTTTTTTTTTTCTTTTTTTTTTAATATAGCTGGATAATCAGTGCCAAGCTTCCATTGCTTTTGATGGTCTGACCTAGTCTGGAGGGTGGGTGGGTTGGGCTGAGCTGTGACAGGCTCCAGCTTCAAACAGTCAGCTGGAGCCCAGAGGTCACAGCCTCCTGTACATCTTTTCCAAGGTGCTTCTGCAGATGTACTTGTTAATCTGTGTGACTTAAAGGTGGACATGGCTCTCATCTCACAGATGAGACGACAGGAGCCACAAAGCGCAAAAGACCTTTCAAGTCAAGGCCTGTACAAATCCAAAATCTAAGGTCACCCAGGGAGCCTTGGCACCACTAAAATGCAAGTCCTGCTTTCAGGAAGAAGTACTCCATTAGGCCATTTTTCTACTTGGTGGTTAAAAGAGAAAAGGCAGCAACCGAGGAGATAGCGATCTGGGGGCCTGTGAAGCCAGGATGTGCTAACTAGTGCCTTTCGGGGGCAGGTGGGTGTTTGGCCCTCAAAGCTGGTCACCTGGACTAGCTTGGGGCTGATAGAGTGATATGTGGATGTGCTTCGGGTAGGCCAGTGGGTCTCCCTCTCCCCAGTCTGTGTTGCTCCTTTTTAAATTAAGCAGTCTACTTGTGGCTAACTATAGAATAAGCCGAGTTAAATCCTTTCTGGAACAGGGCAGCGTGTAAATAAATAAATAAAGTGTAGAATGACACTGTGGAATAAGATTTAATTTAAAAGCCAGGAGGAAATGGAAGGAAGTAATAGGTTGAGGGATTCCCAGCTCCCAGGCGGCAGGAGATCAGGTTTCAATCAGCCTGTTTGTGTTCCTTGCATTTAAAAATGGTTGTGTGGTCATTATCTGGTACTTCTCCTAGGAAGCCCCTGCCCTGTGACTTTACTTACTTATAGAATTAGAGGCAGAAAGGCTAAATTCAACCTGCTGGTCCTTTTTTTGTTTTTTTGGAGACGAAGTCTCACTCTCATCCCCCAGGCTGGAGTGCAGTGGCGCAACCTCCGCCTCCCGGGTTCAAGCAATTCTCCTGCCTCAGCCTCCCGAGTAGCTGGGATTACAGGTGCCTGGTATGACGCCCAGCTAATTTTTGTGTTTTTAGTAGAGATGCGGTTTCACCATGTTAGCCAGGCTG